TCACAGTGCAGTATGGTACCGTAAAATGAGACTTGGCTGGAAGATACATGTAATGTTAGTAGTGTTAATTAGCACTGGAAAACTCTTTTGATTTGCTTGAAAATCATTAAAATGGTTACATCTGTTTATGAGTTCTGTGGGTTGAGATACTGCCTGGACGTGGTGTTTGAAATTTGACTCTTGTTTTTTTAAAAGATAAAGCTGACCATCAGTAAAAATACTGGCATTTTTCTTTAGAGTGAAATTGTGGAAAAGCTTACATTTTTGTGTTCTAAGAATATAACTTATAAGATCATTATTAATAATGTGTCCAAATACATCGTATGTATATTTCAAGTTGTGAATTCATCTACATGCGGGTCTTTCTCTGCGGATTTTAATTGGATTTAGATTCAGCTATTTAATTTGAGTTTCATTTTGAGGTGTTGTCTGTCATGTTTTGCTTCAGGTGCTTGTCAATTGCTCATATTCATATATAGAATGTATATTATATCATTATGGTTTTGGTTTTTCAAGTGCTCTATTTATGGGGGGTATAGGCTCTTACTCTTACATTTGTTGACTGGTTGTCCAGCTGAGAAAGTCAGAATGAAGTTTGTAATTTACTATTCCACTATAAATGAAGCTAGATTATTGGTATTGGTATCAGTAGTCTAGTGATTAGGCTACTGGACTCGTATTCCCACACAGCTCAGACTGCCTTAACAATTAACACTTTGCCCCCCTTTGGACGCCTATCAACAACGCAGGTTTGATATAGCGTGTACCGCACCTGTATCCTGGTCCGTGGGGATAAGTGTTGGGCGCGCTGCGTGGGTGGAAAGTGTTAACACATCAGGTAAGGTCAAAGTAACCTACTCCCTAATTTCTAATTGATTGTGTTAAACTGTTTTGACAGGAATGTTAAACATATATAACTACAACAGACTGAAAAAAACGCAAGTCTTGTTCCAAGTTCATTTTGCTAGAATCAGGATGTAGTAGGCCTACATACCATACAAATCTTGTGTCACATTTTTGTCTTTGTTTTGATCAACAAACCTATGGAAACTGTATTGTAAATAAGGCAAGAAAGTGACACGACTTAATTAAAATGCAAAAAAAGTAGATCATATAGTTGTATTTTCTACCAGTTTAATTTTATTAAGTTATTTCAGTAGGAATCACCATCATCTGTGGTGTATGGTTTAGGAACTTTGCTTTTGCACGCAGCAGACCCAAGTTCAGGATTTTGATCGAGCATCTCGATCTTTTTGTTGAGATGTTGTATCCCTCTCAGCCCAGATTGGCCCTGACAGTGACAGGCTGAGTTGAAGCCCGCCTCCTTATTGGTTTAAGTTATGTCAATTCAAATAGGGCCATAAAAATTCTTACATTTAAAAAAAAAGATTTTTTTAAAAGTAGGAAGCAGCTCTTCAGAATTTTTTAAATTGGTGAACGGTTCGTTTGCTTTCTGAATGGGACTGGTGCTATTTATTTTTGAAAGGGCTTGAAACAGTCTAAGTCATGTGGATCGAGTGAGTCGGTCCTTCTTTCATTTATCAATGGTGATATTCCCAAATGTCAACCTTTCATTAAGTGATCTTTTTACATCTCTAGATGTTTCTGAATTGTACATTATGTTGTTTTATTTATTTTCCTTTCTCAAGGAAAATAATATGAGCTCAGCTTGGTCCCTCATCATGAGTGGTTGTACAGTTTTGTTCTTTCTTTTTTTTCTTTTTTCAATGGTATGAATTTTTATGTCATAGCTTGAGGCTTTCCTGATGTGGGTATTGTAGAACGAGGTTGACTTACTTGACTTTCAATCATGACATCTGTCCTTATTTTACTTAAGTAGGCCTGCAACATGGACATGAACTTCATGTGTGCATGCATTTATATTCTGAGGACTACACCAAAATATAATGTTTACTACAGCACAGGGTCTTTATTTATTTCTATGACCTTTCTCATTACTTTGAATAAAGATAATTTTCAATTAGTAAGCTGAGGTTTTTTTTCCATTGATTCTTCCAACTCAGGTTTGTACATACCCTTTTTTGACATTGCTGTATGGATTTTATTATTCATGGACTGGTAACTTAGGATGTTTCCTGGACTGGACTAGCAATATATTCTCAAGCAAGTTTGCTAAAATTAGAGGTGCTAACTGGTTACTTTTTAAAAAAAAATCCAGAACTTTTCAGACCTCATGCAAAAATAATGTTTATCTTGTGTACCAAGAATATTTCTATATCAGGGGTGGAAATTTTCCGTAAATTTACTGAAATTTTGATTTGCTCCGTCATTTTCCATAAGTGGGACCTGACGTCCTGTCTATTCTCAGAAAGTGCTTCCTGTCTCTTTATCTTTCTCTATCTCCCATTCTCCACTGTCTCTCTTTATCAACCCTCCTCCACTCACCCCTTCTCTCTCTGGTCCTGTTCATGTGTCTTTCTCTCACTCTCTCTGACTTTCAGTAAATTTTGGACTGATCTGTTTCCATCACTGTCATATAAAGTGGAATATGACATGCACAAAGAGATTAAAAATAAAATATCGGCACCTCTGAAAACTTGCAACAGACTCTGTCTAGGCTAGGAAGTGATCTAGTACATGTACTAGTATTGTATCACCTGCACCGATAAAACATGGTCTGCTTGACAGGAATGAGCTCGTTCTTGTATTTAGTAAGTTTTACGGCACTTGCAACACAATTAGGACATAATATAAGCACTGAAGATTAGGAGTCTTGTGGACAGAGAGTAGGCCCAAGATGCAAAGAAAAGGAGGAGAGATAATGATGCATGTTTGATAGGAAAGTAGGAGCAAACCACACCAGAGCATCGATCAACCACGCTCTGTTCTTGCATCTCAAAGTCAAAGGGACTTTATTTTCACAAACAAATTAACCTTTATCTTGAGGACATTCTCTGTCTTATTCTTATATTATACTTCAGCAAGACTGCATTCCATCATTTGGACAACTGGATGGTGATACTGATACAGAGAAGAAAGGTTGAACTTCTTTCCTGACGGTCTGTATGTATGTAATTTCTTGTCTTGAGTTTGAGCAGAAGTTCATGCATGCTATTCCACCACTAGAGGTCACCCATTTTTTAAAACCCAGAGCTGTGTCTGACGAACATCTTAAATTTTAATTAGCATACTGATACTTGATACTGCCCCATACACAAGTGTCCTATATTATGCCTGAACGTTTCCTAGGACTAGAGTTAATTTAGTTTGTGCTAGAGGAAGACTTAGTTTAGTTTTAGTAAGAGTTTTATGGCACTTGCAACACAATAAGGTCATATAAGTGCCGAAGATTAGAAGTGTTACAAGAGAGTAACAAACACAAACAAGAAAGAGGGGAGGTAAAGACGATAGATGTTTGAAAGGAAGAAGAAGCAAACCACAACAGAGCACTCGCCAACCACCCACAGAGGAAGACTAGGATGATGAGTAAAAAGCGTCTAATCTTTAACAATCATGATTGAGACAGTAGAAGATTTAATTTCAGAGTGTTAAAAAGCCATACGCCCTTGAATGTTCATGTTAGGAAAGCCAGAGAGAAGAGAAAAGTATATACTTGTGCATAGATAAATGAGAACAAAGAAACAGAAACTTTCAAATATCTGTAAAATACAAAGTTTATTTGTTTAAAAATTTTCAAAACTCATAATAAATCTGTGTCTCTAAAGAACACTACAGGCACAGAGGGTCATACAATTTTAATTAAACCTCAGCGATAAGGTCAAAATAATATTTGAAGACCTCGATGTGAGAAGTAGTTCTTTGACTAAAAGAGAAGCACATTGATACGACAACGGTCACAAAGTGTTTGGAAAAAAACCCAAGACAAACAGAAACAACAGAGGGTGAATAAAGAAATACAACCTGCCATTGGCAACCTCCAACCACCTGTGGGTGTTTGGTATGCATGTAAATAGAAACAGCCATGATGCACTCTAACTCAAATCTTGGGGATTGATATTACCCTGCAAGCAACAATAGGGTTATCCAGTGCATTTCAGTGCCTGAGTACAAATGGTAGAGCATTTAAATTATTTTCCCCAAATTGTAACGGCAATAGACACACGAGTGGATCTGAAGAAGATTACGAAGATAGCTTAATAAAAAGAAAGATGCCTGGTTCAATCAAACCAAGCAAAAAGAATGGAATGAGATTAGAAATGGGAGCTAGATCAAATTAGCGCACACAGCTACTTTGATATAAGGCACAAGAATAGTCCTGAAAATTGTTCAGAGTAGGCTGTTTAATCTGCAGACACACCATTTGAGACATCCGTGCCTTCATTGTATGTGTCAAAATCAAAACTCATGTATACAGTAACCTTTTTTTTTTGAGTGAGAGTAAGCACTTGCAACACTATCAATATGGTCACACAAGTGCCAAAGATTAGAGGTGTTACAAGAGAGTAACAAGCATACAAAAGGAGGAGATACGGAGGGGATGGATGTTCGATAGGATATACATTAACTTCAAGGCTAAATGAACTGAAATGTGATTGAAGAATTACTGCACCAATACATGCCATGTATATTTGACAGCAACCAACCCAGAACATGCATAGAAATGAATTTAAATAAAATGCAAATTCAAAGCTAACAAAAAATGTATGTTCATATGAAAATTATACAAAATGATTTTATGGAAAGAAAAAATGTGTAGACCTACTTTAGACAACGTTGAAAAGCACAATCATATTAAATCAAAACCTGACTAGTTCCACTAGATTTTCACAAAGAAACAAGGGCGTTTTACAGTGTCCCAAATGCGCATAGACTTACTATTTGGGTTAATGTGTGATTGAGATGTGCATCATTATATGCAGTGAATGTGTATGGAATGTGAATGTAATGAGTTTTGTTACTGTGTTGTCTAGTTTTAGTAAGTTTTACGGCACTTGAGACACAATAAGGTCATATTAGTGCCGAAGATTAGATGTGTTACAAGAGAGTAACATTGACAAAAAAGAAGGAGAGACAAGGACAGTAGATGTTTGATAGCCGATAGGAAGAGCAAACCACACCAGAGCACCCGCCGACCACCCACATTTCTGTGTTGATGCTGAATCTTTGTATGTTGATGTTCTGGTATATATACAAAAAATTTCCCTAGCGGATCAACAAAGTTTATCTTATCTTAATAGATATGTACATATATTACAGAATTTAAAAAATAGAATAAGATTAACGTGAAGAGATAGCATGACAGGTGAAGTTCATTATATATATCATGATAACAAGAGACCAAAACCATTAAAGATTAATGATTAAGAAAGAGGAATAGCAGAAAGGGTAAGTGGGACGTGTAGCTCAGACAGGCAGGAAGAGGTAGCAACAATTGCTGTATAGTACACAAAACAAATCTTGTCAATACACGAAGAGTTAATACCAGCCTCCAAAAACACACACGTGTAAACCAAGCACAAAATTTCATGCCACTATCCGCACTCTGTGAATAGTGATAAGAAATTAGTGGATCTGCAGAGAGCTTGGTGATAGAAGTCTTCCTACCAAAATAAACCGCAAACCAATATATCTAAGCCATTAGACGCATCAAAAATTTGATTTGCAGAAGCAATTTGCAATTATCATTTAATGGTAGCGTACACCTGCTATTGCTGTAACTGTAAGAACATGCTACTCTCAGTTTGTGCCATATAAAGTGCCATACGGCAAACTGTCAAGGAAGACTAATTTCAATTAATTATAGGAAATGGTAGCCCACATTTTTTTACTCTGGCATATGACAAATTATCAAAATCCAAAATAGAAGAGAGATTTCCAAATACTGACATATTGGGAACATTAAACAACGAGGGAATTTTTTTTACGAAGAGCAAACAGACACTGTAAACTCCATGGCGGAAGGTAGGCCTACCCATGTAACCAATTTCTACTCGCATTTCCAACAGATTTTGTTCCGTGCAGAGTAGAACCCGAAAGGAGGCGGGGATGAGCATTATGACAGGGTTGGACAAGGTCTGTCTGTCTGTCAGTGGCAGACTAAAAAGTAAAAAGTCAGATTCTGAATTCAATCCCCTATTCCCTTTTTTTCCTTAAAGGGCTTAGGAAAGCAGTTGATTCTAAGTTCATCTAAAGCTTTAATGGAGGTGGGGGGGACACAAAGAATTTTCTTTCATTAAGTACTCTTGAGGTCTCATGTCTTATTTAGCACCAACAGAAGACCAAAAATGCCCATCATATGAAAAGATGAGTGAATCATCAACAACACAAAAGTACAATGGAGTCTGTTTATAATGAACTCACAAAGACCTAACAAAAAAAAAATCTTACAACTAGAGAAATATTTGACAAAATGTCTCAACTTTTAAGGGGAGGTGAAGAAATGATATCAACATCCTGAGATTAAAGTTCCATGGCGGATGTGTTGAGACTGCCAGGCATGACCTGCAAATGTCCAAGTGATAAAGAGGTGTCGGGTGACGGGGTCAAAGAGAGGCTAGAATCCTCCTCTATGGGACTTGTCAAAAAAGATGGTCTAGCTTGCTGTCCACTCGTCTCTTGATTGGACGACTGGCGCCCTGAAGATTCTGAGGCACTAGCATCAACCTCCGGTAGTGGTACCAAGAGAGAAAACAGGTCGGCCTCTGGCATTGCCTCAACTGCGGTGGTGAGAGGAGGAAGAAAAAACTATTTCAATAAAAAAGAAATTTTTATTTAGCATAGATGTAACAAAATTCAATAAAAAAGAAATTCTTATTAGCATAGATGTATCAAAATTCAACCCTGCCTCCCCAAAATCCTAGCTGGACGTTATGATTACAGATTATTCAGTTTATTGATACGACATAATTTACACTTGGATAAATTTATCTTGAATACAAGTCGAGATATTCACGATTGAACCAAGTGGGGGTTGCCCGGTTTCAAAGGTAAAATTAGCGAGAAAATGGCGCCAAACTCTGGTGGCTTCCAAAGAGTCCTTGGAAACTGTAAATTTACATATTTGTGTCTTTAATCAACGTTTTTAAGTAAAAGTCACACAGCAAATTGTTTTTAAACGGAAATAAAAAGTACTGAGCCAAAAACTAAAAATTCTATAAAAATTGCCAAGGGGAAAGAAAAATGCCATTTTCTTCAATTTCATTATTTTGACGCGCGCCAGATTTCACCTCGCTGCCTCACATATTTGTAACAACAAGTATGACGATACAGAAAAAATGTCCAAGTTGATAGGCTCACGACCCCTCATAATACATGACTATAACGGGACTTTTGGTTTCAGAAGAAAAATCCCGCTGTAGGCAAGTTCCTGCTAAAGGAATGCAAAGGGGAATTACCGAAAAATTTCTTTAAAATCCACATGATTACCTCCCTTCCATATCAATAAAATTTGCGCTTATTAAGATTAGTCTTCCTTTTCATGTCAACTTCATTGATGATCTCGGCCTTAAATTCGGGTCAGAAAACAAAATTTTACACTAATAGAAGCGGAACTCCTCTCTCGTGATCGTTGATTCGCTGTGAGGAATTGAAACTAAAACATGGCGGCATGGTGAGGGCAGCGTTGGCTGCGCCGGACAGCGAGGCTTCGCGTTGCAATGCACGCTGATGCTAGTGATAGGGCTTGGAAGACACCTTACATCAGTATTTTAAAACTGTCTTCAAAGAGGAAATATAGTGAAATAGTACATTTTTATTGCCAACTATGTAGAGTGTTATAATTGGCAATGTTACAAACAATGTTTTCGTGTTGGTTTGTTTTTTTAATGATGGGATGGGGATCTAGATCTACTCACTCACAATACACTTGATAATAAAAATAGGCTAATTGTGAACATTAATTCTGTTGGCAAAATATCTAGATCTAGTCTTCATTAGTAGGCCTACTACGATAAAGGGGACACTGACTCTAACATGCTTACAACAACTACTTGTCATTAAACGTAAGGCCATCCACAGCAAGGAAAAAGAATATAAAGGCCTTTTCTCCAATTTACTAGAAAGAGATCAATAAATTAAGTTTATATTGAGGAAAATTGGTAAGAGTTCCACGGTGCTCGCAACTGCATAAGGTCATATGAGCGCGCAGGACACACCAAACATTTTCAGTTGATAGAAAATTTTGCTCGGGTGGTGGCCAAAGATTACTCAAATCGATTTTGGATCACTAAGGGATCTTTCACGTACGCAACTTGCACACAGGACCTCTGAGATTTTTTGCCCTTGTCCGAGAAGGCTAGAGGTAGACATTACCTACCATAAGATCAGGGGTGTGGCTAGAAGACAGTACTAAGAAGGAGCTAAGGAGAAGCAGTACAAAGACCTGTAGAAAGAATCAGGAGCTCACAAGAGGGGGCAAAGGAGGAGAGGGGGTGCAGGCAGAAAGTGGAGACGAATGCACACGACAGAACATTGTTAGAGAGCAGGAAAGGATGTGAAAGAAAATCTCAGAAAAGAAAATTTTCCGTCGCTATCCGGATACAAACTCGAGACCTATTGAATGAGAGGCGAATCACCTTAACCTCTTGGCTACAAGAGCCCCCTTAGTAGTCATTTTTAACCTTCTGATTTGCACATGGGAATGTAAAGAACCATCAGAACGTCACCAATTTTTAAACGTTTTTTAAACACGGATTCTCTTTGTCAGTCTTTGTGGAAGTTTACTGCCCCACAAGACGCAAAAGCCATTTCAAAGATGGACAATACGCTGTCCAGTTTCTCTGGTCTATTTTTAGTTAAAACACCCTCAGCACATGGGTGGGCATAAAAGTAATTTTAAAAAGAGCCAGACAGAAGGAAAGTAAGTGAGAAATTAAGATGTCACCCAACCTCTACAGGTGGCCCAAAAGGTTTAGTCTTACAATCCGTTTAAGACAAACCAAGGTAACACTATAACAAGTGTAAAGCCTTTGTGGAGGGAGATGGTCATTAAACTTTTACCTTCTGGTTCAGGCATCGGGATGTCCAGAGAATCGCTACTAAGATTCGGGTCGCTGAGATCTGACTCACTGTCTGGGATCAGACCAAAGAGGCAAGGCGGCCTCCAAGAAAACAGTTTATCCACATACGTGCTGAGCCTCTCAGTTCGAGGGAAAATACTGTCTGAGTCATCTGAAAAGATTTCAGTGTTCAGAAATTATACAATAAACAAACAAAGTCTGAAGTTGAGGTAATGGCAATGGCACAAACCACTAGGTAGTATTAAGCACTAATTTTAGTATAAATTTTAAAATCTAACCCACTTTTCACTTCGCTGCCTGCACCCCCCTCCCCCCCCCACCCAAATACAAACTTGAAATAAAATGGTGACAAAGTACTAAGACACAACATCAGTTGCTTTTATTTTTTTCATGTTCTACACTTTTCTATCAACATTATAAACAACAGCTGACCCTCCATGGAGGTGAAGTCTCATGTGTCTATTGAACCACCAACTTTTACTTTTAACATCTTGGTCTGAACGTAAATCATTGCTCAATTGTAAAAAAATATTGAGAAATAAAATCTGACATCCCTGCACCAACAAAATTTTGCCATTACTACACCAATAACCTTTGTTAAACCGAATGTGGGAAAGAGAAACTAGTCAAAATTGTCCTAGATGGCCGTCCACTGTCAAGAAGAAAAGCAGTTTGTCTCTTAGATAGGTGGACATCTTGAAAAAATAAGGCTTTAGGGGGTTCTTATGCGATGAAATAGTTGTAAGAGAGGCTGAAAAAGACTACATCTCAAAAATCCATAAGTATGACCCGAATCTGGACTTTCAGGGTGCAGCTCCCCCCCCCCCCCCTTAACTGAAAAAAAGGGGGCTGGGGGTTGTTTTATGTTGATTCAGATACAGTAAAAATTAAATTTACTGCTTTTTGTATTTAGGGCTTCATCTTTAAACACTTCCAAAATACGGCACCCTATAGTGCATATCAGTCACCAGCCCGTGCAGTCTCAGTGAGTAAAACAAAAACAAAACTTACATTCCTCGTCATCCTCTGGTATCGATGGATCAGGATAAGAGGGAGACGGTTGCTTTGTGCTGATGCTTGGTTGCACTTTGGGTGGCTTATTATCAGCCTCTGGTTCCTTTGTTTTTTTGGGCAACTTTTTCTGAAAAATAAAGAATAGAAAAAAAAAAAAACGCTTTACGGTGTAGTGTTATCAAATAATTATTTCAATTCCCAGTTAGAAAAACACAAGCGCATATTTTGCCCTTTCATACCGCACTTTTTCCATAATAGTGACTAATAAAGTTTTCCAAGTGTTCATACATTCCAAAAGTGTTGTGTAATTCAAGAGCCACTGATTTCAGCTAACCGTTTCTCAAATCAATACTTTCCTCTCAGCTCAGACAGCAAATGTGCAAAGAAAGTCACAACTGCATTACATCTGCATCTCTTTCCTTTACACAGAAAGTCCAGCCAAACATCTCAGAGGACCATTTCTAAAAATGTCCATATTTTTTTGTTTGAGTAAAGAGAAGCACATCAACACAATAACAGTCATTTAGTACTGGGAAAAAGTAAGCAAACAGACAGAACCAACAGATCATTTAGGAAACAAGCTTTGACCCTGCCCATCAGAAAGAATAAGAAAAAGAAACTTGAGAATTGAAATCAAGCACTTAACTACTTCACCACTGACATCATCAACTCATTAGATCATTTAGGAAACAGGCTTTGACCCTGCCCATCAGGGTCAACGCAGGCCAAGAGGGATACAACATCCCTGCAGAAAGAAAGAGATACTTGAGATTTGAATTCAAGCACCTAACTATTTCAAAACAGACATCAGTAAATGATAATCATTTTTGCTTACAAAAGCTTGACAAGTTTGCATAAAGAAATTTCCCTGCAACGGAAATGTATTCACTTACCAGCAACCTTAGGAAACAAAAAAAAGGGCTGTAATAATAATACAACCAGCTTTTCCAGCTGTAAAAGAATATTGAATTCAGACAGCTGGTCTATTTTTTTTTTATAGTAGAGGGTTTTACGACGCTCGCAACTGCATAAGGTCAAATATGAGCGCCAAGGGGTGGGTGTCAACAGAGAAATCTTTACAGGGAATCAGACTTAGACTGCTCACCTCTCTAGCTGCAACAGCACAAGGTCTGCTTCGACTATCAAGGCACCCCAAAATAGCAGGTCACAAGAGAGTGATAAACATACAAAAAAAGTAGAGGAAAATGACAATAATAGTAAGGATCAGGAAAGAAAAAGCAGCAGTTCCCTGTTGTAGATCAGGCACAGTTATGAGAGTGACATGAGTCAGCCCATTTACAATTCTACTATGCTTGAACGAGAAATGTCCCCCCTTTGGGAATGGCCTAAAGTCACTTCAGTCAGTGGCACTGCCCCGGGGGGTAGAGCTGGTCTAATATTAACCTTCCATCACAAGATGCAATAACAACATAATGCAGGATAGACATCTCTAAACTTTATGAGCACCATCAAAAGCTCAAAACGTTTTTCAAAGAATCAATAAACTACCAGAGATCTACTTTCTTTCATATTACACCGAACAACAAAGTAGGTCCCAAAGAGAGAACAACATTACACTTACACGAAATACTTTTTTGGCCTCTGGTTTCTTGACCTCATCAGTTTTATTCTCCACTCCACTGGAAATTTTCAGCCCAGGTTTGTTCGGCTTAGACAATTCCCCAGATAAACCTGACTCCTTGCCAAGACCAACTTTCTTTGACAGCTGTTGATCATTGTTGACATCAAACAGAGCTTTGCGTGGTGTAGGCTGGGTTAGCTTTTTGTCCCCTGTAGCAAAAAAAATAAAAATAAGATATTATAATTTTTTTTAAACATAAACATGAGATTTTGACACATTAAATAATTCATCCAATGATACATTCACTGTACACAAAACCGTATGTAATTCACATGACTGCTATAAGAAGGAGAAAATATACAAATGTACAGTTCATAGAAGAGTAGCTTTTATAGTCTTTTGAGAAACATCTGAAGCCTGAAGTGTATCATTTACAGTAATTTGCACCAATAGCGTTAAGCAAATCAAATTTATACTTCACTTTATGCCCATTGGGTGTGTGTATCATATCATGTGTGTGTTTTTTAATCTTTAACATTCCTGATTCATTCTCACAAAAACCAAAAACAAAACCCATGTGGACAATCTGGAAAACATGATGAGCCAATACTTCAAGTTTTACCTCATCATAAAGAAGCCTTGTGATGCGAGAGAAGCATGTCAAACTGCACATTAACAAAAATGATTAGTCTATCAAATTTGGTGGTTGAAGACAACTATCTAAATTTAAAGTGTGATGTCACAAGAGCTGTAACTGCCAACCATTAGTCCAAGATATATTATTTGCGGATCAAAAGGTTTTTTTTAATGTTACAAGTAACTTACGCCGAGGCCCAAAGCCCTTGAGCACACTGCCTTTGTTGAAAACTGCTGCTGGGGTCGCATTCTCTTTGTCAACATGGACTTCAAATCCGATTGCAGCCATTCTGGAATCTGTAATCTTGGTTCACAACTGGAATAAAAAGTACAAGAAAATGAAACATGTCTAAAAATAAAGAGTTATTCTAGAAACCTGAAAGATATCAAGACATTTCAAAAGAAGACTCGAGTCCCATGAAAAAATGTTACGAAGTCTAGCCGTACTTAGATCTAGGTTTGGCCCTATCGACTCAAGCCTGTTAAGTACACAGGTCTCATTAGATCTAGATCTAGTAATTATTCAGGTTCAAATACATGCAAGTCAGTAAGGCACCTTTTGGTTTTGTCTGAAATATAAATACTTTAGGCATTGCAAACTAAAAATTTAATTTACAATTCAGCCATCAATATTAAGTACGGCTAGCCTGACAGTCTAGCCGTAGTTAAGTACGGTTAGCCTGGCTGTCTACCCGTACTTAAGTACGTCTAGACGGCAGTCTAGCCGTACTTATCTTAGAAAGGCCCTATTAACATTAGAAAACAGGAGGTTTTTAAAAATACATGCACTGTCATTAAGGCACCTGGTTTTGTCTCAAATACAAATACTTAAGGTACTGCACACTAAAATTTACAATTCAGTAGGCCTATTTCTTTTAAATGGTCAGTCTAGCCATCATATTTAGAATAAGTACGGCTAGCCTCTTCCAAAATGTTATTCGGACTTGGGTCCGGAAAAAAGGAAGTGTCTTCGTTCTATAGATCTAACGTTCAGTGCTTCCAATTTTCCGCCATTTTTTAGTTCCCCCCACACCTTATCTGCCGATCCGATGCCAGCCGCCTCATTGATACGCCCCCCCCCCCATGTTTCCCACTTTCTTTGTTGTAGAAAAGGGTAAAATTGAAGATCAGCAGACCACTTGGCACCTGCATATTATGAGCTGTGTAAAAAAAAAAAAGACAGATTCATTCAAATACACAAGCCTGTGTCATCTCGATTGTTTACCAAGAAAAAGTTGTATTGCTGTGTAGAGCCGAGCATACGGCAACTTTTCATTCCATAGACCAGCGCACAATTCATTATCATGTAGATCTACGTCAAGACAAGCTTATAATTGTAATAATGATCAGTGGCCGGGGGAAAAAAGACGACGCATAGATGTTCAACGCCCAGACCGATAGTGCCCCCCCCTCCCCGACATGCACACACAGCCACACGTGTGCAGGCCGCCCATCTGACCCCGACACACTCTAACGAGCCATCTTTAATTACTTCTGATGACCCCTTGACAAATATTCATTTAGAATCTAGATCTATTAGAAGCGCTCTATAACTTTTCAGGCCGGCCTCAAATTCATCATAAAAGATAAAAACTCGGCTCCTGCACAAAACGCCATTTTGCCCGAAGTGATCCCGGTCTCTACCCAGTCACGAGTGAGGCAGGACAGGAAGCCGGAGTCACGAGTCACAGGAAGTCAGAAGTCGGAAGTGATGTCATGCTGGACAAGAATCAGAGTCCGAATGACATTTTTTCATATTCGGACTCGAGTCCGAATAGTCACTTCGGTACTGTCAGTCTAGCCGTACTTTGATCTAGGTTTGGCCCTATCGACTCAAGCCTGTTAAGTACACAGGTCTCATTAGATCTAGATCTAGCAATTATTCAGGTTCAAATGCATGCAAGTCAGTAAGGCACCTTTTGGTTTTGTCTGAAATACAAATACTTTAAGCATTGCAAACAAAAAAATTTCATTTACAATTCAGCCATCAATATTAAGTACGGCTAGACTCTCAGTCTAGCCGTACTTATCTCAGGCCCTATTTATTAACATAGAAAACAGGAGGTTTAAAATACATGCACTGTCATTAAATTTAAATTAAATTGTCATTAATTAAGACACCTGGTTTCGTCTCAAATACAAATACTTTAGGTACTGCACACAAAAATGTATATTTACAATTCAGTAGGCCTAGAATCTATTTTTTTTTTATGACCAGTCTAGCCATCATATTAAGTAAGAATAAGAATAAGTACGGCTTCGGCTAGACTAGACCCAGTACGTCATTAAAGTACGGCTAGCCTCTTCCTGCGTAGATACTGAGACTAGGAGCCCGGTTACCGTGTGCGTAGATACTGAGACTAGGTGCCCGATTACCTTGTACGTAGACACTTCGAATTCAAAATGTGAGTGGCCATACTGAATACTGGTCACTCACACTCATCACACTGTTAAATAAATATGTAAATAGGGCAAGGCCTAAAACTGAGTTACTGCACTTCTAGAATAAGAATGGCAGCTTCACTTCTCCACGTCCAAGAAAGCACCTTCAATCTTCAGGCTGACTTCAGCATAATACATGTCCAGATCTTGTGTTCAGTTTTTGTAAATGTTAATGAATAAACATTATTTTCGGTGTTCCTACTCACCTTGCAATATTATTTGTTTTTGTTTGAACCCTCTTCCCTACAATAATGAACAGTGAACAAAATAGTGTGGCGAGCTTGCATTTGACGCTTTACAATTTGATTGGTCGAAGAGTCGAATCGAGCAAATATTGGATACGTATAAAACGAGGAGCGAGATTTTACGATACAACTCTTGTATCGAAAAAAAAATCCTCGGAATGCGAGCCGAATTTGTGAGATTAGTTTGGATAATGCTTATTTAAACGACTACATCAGATGATTCAGGTGTCTTCAAATCATAAGAATTCTATACCGTAATAAATCAATTTAATACATTATTTACAATTTACATCATGTGGCAGCATGTTTCACTCTTTGTTGTAGGAGGTAAACAGCGGTTACTTAGCAAAGCGTCAAAATGGCGTCCAAAGTGGAAGACCAAGATGTATTTCAAAGGAAAGTTCAACAAAAACTCCTGGAACAGTTCGGTATGAAGAAAAGCTAATTTCCATAAGATTATGTTTAAAACTTTTACGACTGCGGCACTCGTTCACAGCATTATGGATTTGAGATGTATTGCAATGAAATATGAAATGAAACGTTGACTCTCTCCGTGGAGTGAGTTGGGAGTCTTACTAGTAATACTAGCCTATCAGAGAATCCGCGGTGTTCATTGTAGGGTGTCCAGGCGGCCTCACTCTTATTGGGGAATCTAGGGGAAATTTAGAGTATTCTCATTCAAATGATGATATTTTCTTGTTGGGGCTCTTTGGAAATTGCTTTCCCGTTTGTGTTTACATAAGAAACTGAAGTCCTGAGCCTGAGAATTGATTGAGAAGGACAAATGGTCAAAAGTGACCATGTAGGCAAAGTGAATCCTGCCACATTAGCCAGTAATATTTTTCTGCCTTTTTTGTATTAAAAAATTATTTTGGCTAGATTGAACTTTGGTGGACCCACCATGTTTACATGTGTATTAATGCGTCCTAGCCATAGCAGTGGGCAGCAATGCCTACCGAGCGCGTTTTGTTCTGCCGATTTTTGGCCCCAGCCGCTAGAGCTGGATCCTGCTCGCCAAATCTGAGAGGGGCGATTCGCGATTCAGTCGTCTTAAAAAAATCGCGAGTACGCAAGCGCCCGTGGAACACTGACTGAAACGGAACAGTGTCATATCAACTCCACTTAGCGAGGGCGAGTCTCACTCTTGTTGTCCCGCCATCCTCTCCGCCCCACACCCTTTATTGCGCTGCTCTATCTACTGACCTCAATTAGCGACCCCATAAATTCACCCCCCTATGATTCGCTAAAACAGTGGCGCCATAAAATTCCTTCTGTCTATTGGTTGGAACCCGTTCATTTTGTTTTAACCCTAACTCTGGCAAGTGGTTTCAACAGGAATGGCAGGGCTAATCAGCCAAAACGTGCACATGCTTTACAAATCAAATTTATGGACTTGCATCAAATAAAAACCCTACAAAAGTATATATTTTCTGAAAGATAATTGAATGAACTTTTATATTTTGCCATTGAACATATGATTTTATTTTATTTTTAAGGGGTTATGTAACTTTGAAATCCAAGATGGCTGACATAAAAAATTTACATGCTCATTAGCATATTCACCAATCTAATGTCTTTCTTGTTATAAAAAATGTGAGATGGCAGAAATATGGGTTTTTCAATTACCTTTCAGAAAATGTATAGTTTTATAAGTTTGAGAAGAACAGGTAATGAGTTATGACTGTTTCAATTTGTCAGGTGGTCTGTTTCGAGCGCAGCTGATACGCGCTAATTTCATACCATACTCAACATAAAAACACTCTAAGTACAACCATGTGGTTTTCAGCAATCTGCTGGTAGTCTGTAATAATTAGTATAGCAAAAGGAACCTACTTTACTCTCTATAGCTCTCCTTTTTCTGCCCCTATTAGACTCCCAAAGAAGTAGAATCTAGATCTAGTGTTCCATTTGAAAGAGAAGTTGGGGTAGGATGAGAACTGGTACATGTATCCCCATTGTATGTCAGATCTAATCCCACTCTTGACTGAACACCAATAAATCCACCACTAACAGTGTCTGAATTACTTTCCCTAGTCAATTCACTTTCAAATGTATCCAAAAAAGATCGATTTTTGGCCATTTTAGACCCACACAAGTGATAGATCTACACTGGCATTAGTGGCTTGTGGCCTGATCAACAAGCTTTCAAAACATCCCTCTGTTTTGAAAGCAAAATACTCTTCTCCTAAGCCAGAATGGTAGAAATATTCTGATTGGTTGGAGGTTAGCCTTTTAGCCAATCAGAAATCACTTTAGGAAGCCCCAAATATTTAGTTGGAAGGCAGAAGCAGCAGTTTACTATATGGTCCTATGAGATCGGCCCTGCCACTTTCATGGCAGGAAATGGGCCGATCTAATCGGCCCTTGCCAGAGTTAGGGTTAATAGGGAGTTGGACTATACCATATCTTTTGTAAATTAAGGGGAGCCATACTAAGTGTTCCGTTCCGTTTTTGCGCTCGCGACTCGACTCAGCAGTAGATTACAAAAACATAAACTGTAAGGTGGTGACAGCGACAGGGGAGTGAATCGGGAATCGGAAGGCGATACTGTTCCGCTAAAGTGAATCGTGAATTGCGTTCCGCAGGCAAGAGTGGCGATTCAGTTCCGTTCTCGCGCTCGCTACCCAGCTCTACCCGCCATGGGGGTGTTTCGTGGGACGAACTAACGCAATGGTTGTTGTCTTCAACTCGCTCTCTCGCCGCTTTTCGTGAATGGATATGAATGAAACTTGACAGCCAATCAGAAAAGGGGTCAATCTCGTAGTATGCAGATTGACAAGTTTGTACCCATCCAAGAAGCAGTCGAAAACGTTTGCAAAAGTGGTTGATGTGGTGCGCTTTGAAGATTTTTCGGAGCTGTGATTTGTCAAAATGACTGAAGTTGTACACTATTTTCCTTTATTCCCTTAAAATTTCATGCTTCTTTGTTTAGCATTTTTTGCGTAATCTTTTAAAATGTTGGAGTAACTAAGGGAAAAGCGGCATTGCCATTTGCGCGTGTTGAGTGAACGACCAGCGGCTGGGAAAATTCCACTGAGTGACGTCATCAGCCTTCGGTCACCTCAGGTGCTACAAACAAGGCCCCACTATGTGAACCGGAAAGGGGAGAAGGATACTTGAAAACTAAACTGGGGCCTTGATAATTTACATTTGTGTTGCATTTTAGTCACAATACAATAGATGTAGTCATTTTTATTTGCTTAATTGCATGAGAGAAGAATAGAAACAGAAAAGCAAACATCTTGAGAAGTAGTATGGCATTGTATTTGCGTTATCAAAGCCTATTTCCCCCTCTTGGGAAAGCACACACTTGGACATGCTGTTTGCTCTGTTTGGAAAAGTGGGGCAGTAAGATTGTTATTAAAGAGTATGGTATATATTTAGTTCAGTCTGGGAAGATAGTCCAGTTTATACATTGTTATCGTTCACACGTGCTTGCATGAGTGCGCGCTCGTGCCTGTGTGTGTGTGTGTGTGAGAGAGAGAGAGAAAGAGAGAGAGAAGGGGGGGGGGGGGGGGTCTAAATATCTGTTACATTTATAGTATGAGTTGTAGCCTACACATGCGACATATTCCCATGACTTGTTAACTATATTATCGAAACACATCTTAATCTACCATACAATAGGACAGTGTCCCGCAATGGATATATACAGAGACGATCTTATTTTCTATTACAAAGTGTGCATGCTTTTACTAGTAGAGAACTGGATTTATTAGACTAATAAATCCAGCTCTCTACTTACATTTTTGGGACAAATTGATCCAGAACATTGCTTGGCAAGGAGTCATCTTTTATGTTGCCCAGTTTCATTCAAATATCATGACTTTGGGAGAAGATATATGACTGATAATCTTTGTAAAGCTGTAAGGAACGCCACTTTTTTATTTGTAAATGTCTTTACAACTCAAAATGTATGATAGATCATTAAAAATCTGACAGCATGACTAGATTCTGCATTAAAAACTGTACTAGACTGCCAAGTTTCATTCACATGCTCCAAGAAATAGGCGAGCTTTTGTCTCAAAACGCTCCAAAAACGCCACATTTTTACCGATAAACGTCTTCATAACGCAAAAAGTAGGATAGCTATGAAAAATCTGAAAGCAGGACTAGATTCTGCACTAGAAAATGTACTTTGTTGCCTAGTTTAATTTACATGCTCCGAGAAATGAGCGAGTTATGGCGAATATTGTCTCAAAACTCACCGAAGAACGTCCCATATTTTGGGGTTTTTCATTATAAAAGTACCAAAAATTAATTGATTAAAAAATTCATAACTTTTTTTTTATTGATGGATTTCAAAAATTCAAAAAGTTCCATGCTCTTTGAAGATACAGCTACAAAATGCACATATTTGCAAACACTTTCTGAGAAAAAAAGATTTTTCCTGGTCATTGCAACTGAGTGGGGGTTTCAGGGGGGGAAGCCTCCCTGGCAAAAATAATAATAACAAAAAAACACACAATCTTCACATTTACCTTGCAAATTATCAGTTTCAAAAGGACGACCAATGGAACGGGAAGGCAATTTCCACAGAGCACCTACTTTGTTTTACTAGGTACAACAACCTCGCCTATATGAAAGCTTATTAAAAATACTTTTGATCTGATATTCATAATAATAAAAATATTTCTACGTCGTACTTTCTGTACTGTCATGATTTTTCTGTTTTCTTCGAGGAAAGAGACATTTTCTTATTTTACCCACCGACCGTGACTCTCCTATTGTCCCCCCGTCGTTCTTTCATTGATATAAAAATAGGCCAGATGGACAGATATTGAGTTTGTGGTCATATTAATTAATTGATACTCGCGCGATTTCTGTAATATTTAACTTTTACCCCCAGTGGGTCGGGGGGATATAAATAGACCCACTGCTTCGTCTGCAGAAGGTGCAACCCCTTCAAAGGCGAGGTGTCGCACTCGGACCCCAATCCTCTGAGATCCGGATGCGACACCTACTTTGGTGTATCTTCCTCTTCTCCTTCCTTCTTTCTTTCTTCTTCTGTCTTTCCTGCCACCGCTGACCTCATGTGCAGCAAAAAGAGAGGTCACCCATCCCACAGAGTGGGCGCCTTGTTGACCGTGAGGTGCGACCCGTGCAGAGGGAAACCGGGTACCTGGCGGTTGAGGTGAGATCAGTCCACGGACTGTCCCTCACCAACACACCTCTTTGGCCCAGGTTTTCCTCTTAGACGGGAGGGTGGCACGGCCCATGCCACTCAACCGGTTGAGAGCTGAAACCCCATCAAGCCCTGGGTCAATCTTGACGGGAGGGTCTTGTACTTTCTCGTTGAGAGTATAGCTCCGGGGTAGCCCTGGCACAGCTCTGGATATCCGAGCTATGTGTCCCCTTGTTGGGCTCCGTGGCGGGCGGGGAGCCCCGGAGTCGAATCAAAAAGAAAACTCTCATGGATTCTAAAAAT